AATCATTATTAGCTTAATCATTTGGATTATTAACAAAAAAATAATACACATAATACTATTAATATTTTTCCCCCTACCTTAGTTTTTATAATTATTAATGTTATTCTTTACATTATCAAGATTTTTCGACCTTATTATCAACTAAAATTTTAATAGGTTATGTCTTCGACAATAAGCTTTTGTACGTAATTGGCCATAAATCAGTAATAAAAACGAAATCCTTATTAGCTTAATAATTTGGATTATTAACAAAAAATAATAACAACAATGTTATTAATATTTTCCCCCGACATTATTAAAATTTTTATGGGCAATTATTTACATAGTACAATATAGCTATAAATATCAACACACAACATTAACAACAAGATTATTAATCTTTTCATTCACATTATGAACATATTTACGTACATTTTTACAGATTTTATGGCCAATTACTAACACCTACAAGTCATTTACTTACAGTATTACTGCTTCTTTGGGCCAATTATTAACATAGTACAATATAGCTATAAATTTAACAACGTACCACGATGTTCTGCAGCTGGTCCCGCGCATCATAATCACTGCGCACTTCTTGAGCTCTTTTTATCTCCAACATCGCGTTAAACTGTGTGAAAAACTGGTGCAGATTTTCATCAGTGGTCAAAAACTCACGGAGGACGGAGTTGCATGCCTCACTCAGCTGTGAACTCCGCATTCCAGCAGTGAATTGCTTGTTCACCCATGCAGCTGACCATTTCTCCTTCACCTTAAACATACGATTCAACCATCTAACTTGCTTCTTTGGCAATCCAACTGAGACTGTCACCATCATTTCTTCCCAGTGGAAATCAAATTGCTCGGGTGTCTCCACATCATACATCAAGTAGCTAATACATTCAGCCACTTTACCTTTCCAAACCTTCTTGTCCTTCCCATTCTCTCTAAGATGGTATGTGCAAAGCCCATGAAAAGTCTTCTCATCCGATATATCGTTATTGATCGCGCTCTTAATACCAGCAGCAATTGCAGCAGCCTGGTCCGTGAAGATCGATGTTGGTCTCTTTCCAGACATGCACTCCAGAAAAGTTCTAAACAACCACTCGAACGACTCCGTAGTCTCGTCATACAGTAGAGCAGCTCCAAACACACAGAGTTTTCTATGGTGATTGAATCCAACAAATAGAGCTGCAAAAAATTGATAACGGGTTTAAGACCGTATTATTTATGGAACGGTATTCATAGTAAAAAATTGATAATTTGTATAGTGTAAATACTGATTTAACATCAATTCTTTCATGAGACTAACATTAACAACAAGATTATTAATCTTTTCACCTACATTATTAAGATTTTTACGTATAGATATATTTAACGATTTTATGGCCAATTTTTTTAATATGAACAGATTACAATATATTCACAATTATATCTAGATAATTAGTATTTATGCACAATTATGTCTAGATAATTAGTATTTATGGGCAATTATTAATGATTATAGTATACTTAAACATTTACAAGTCTACATGCACGAGCTTGATAATGAGTATAATATAATTAATAATGGTACCAAACACATACCTAACGGGCGACAATTTTGATTCGTTCGATAGGTGGTGTCAAAACTTATTGCATCCCCAAAGTGATGGTAGTCCATTCTCATTCTTCCATCAGCCCAAAATACTGCAGCCATCTCCTCGTTCACATCCACTGACACCCTATAAAAGAAGGAGGGATCAGATCTCTGTTCCTCCTGAAAGTGTCGATACAGGAATGTGGCCACCCCATACTCCATTGTCTTCGCCCTCACTGTTCTAATGCAATTCTTCAAGTCCTCTGGCAGGAAACCAACATTCTCCCTACCACCAGCAGCTAAGCAGAATGTAGCATAGCTAGCCCGTGTTTTTATACCTGCAGCCTCGTTCATTTTAGCAATACAAAGTTGTGGTTCAGTGATATTCCTGTTAGAACGATGGAGATGCTTGGCCGATGGGTCGTGCATCTCATGATTGTGATCATCTACCCAATCATCAATGTAATACAGGTTGGTTCGTTTATCCAACTTGAAGTTCATCCTCGCTGGACACCCCCATCTATTCTCTGCCCTACTCCTTTTCCGAACAGTATTATCAATTCGGCCTCCATTCTTTGGATTCTTCGCGCTTTTTTTTCTGTAGCCTCCTTTAGTACATGCGCAATAGATGTAGTGAGCCGTCTCACAAAACTCATTCTTTGTGTTCCTCTTAGGAGCGCCTTCCTTCCTCATGCCAAAGCCTTTGTGATGTGCATACTCTTTATAGAATGACTCTGCATGATCCCTGGACACGAATCTACGCTCTATCCATGTCGATTCATTTGCAGGATCAACCAAATCAATCTCTACACAAATTATCAAGAAATTAGTTAATGATGGTGCATTTTTTTTTTACTTGTTAATAAGATTGTTATAAATTCGACTTACCCATGTTATCAATATTAAAATAACGATTTTCCATGACAGGTATAGCACTACCATCATTCGTATGAACATCATCCACCACTCCTGCAACATTTAATACATTACATCACTTGCACGAGTTTTATAATTCCACATTTCCACATATATACAAGATTAGTCAACTAACCTTCGCCTTCTGCATATAGATTTTCTACTGTAATCTTGTCTTCGCTTAAGTCATTGTTATTGGAAATATCTTCACCTTCCAAGTTGACATCACAAGGTACTTCATTCAGATCTGCAATGTTGACAAATTAACAAAACTATCACCTTTAATTATTAACAACTACCCACTTCATTATTAATATTCATTCTCCGATTATTAAATAAACAATTACAAGGCACTTCATTATTAATCTCGGATTAATTATTAACAACCATCAACATTGTTATTAATCTTCCCTTCTTGGAATATTAACCTAAATCGCCAATGAAATTATTCATGCAAACTTTACTATTAACCATGTCCTTTTTATTTAATAATTTAAAACAACGAACCTTTTTACGTTCAAAGTGAAATATTAAGTTAAACACTTCGATTATTAATAATTTGGTATTATCAGTTAACAAGTATTATTAATAAATTAGTATTTTTGGTTAATACTCTTTTATGAAGATATTGATAATATGTTTACCAATAGTAATGATTATCCCTGATTACATGCAACGTTGATCATTAATTAAAACACCACAAATATTAACAGTTAACGAAGGGATTATTATTAATCCCACACCAAGTTATCAACTTAAATTGTTAACAAAACTATCTGTTTTATTAATACTCGGTAATGAATATATTGATAATATATTTAACAATAGTAATGACCTGATTACATGCAAAGTTGATTATTGACTAAAACACAACATTTATTAACATTTAACGAAGGGATTATTATTAATCCCACACCAAGTTATCAACTTAAATTGTTAACAACACTATTCTGTTTTATTAATACTCGTTTATGAATATATTGATAATATGTTTAACAATAGTAATGACCTGATTACATGCAAAGTTGATTATTAACTAAAACACAACATTTATTAACAGTTAACGAAGGCATCATTATTAATCCCACACCAAGTTATTAACATAAATTGTTAACAACTCTGGTATGTTTTATTAAACATATATGCATCCAAAGATGCGTCTATTGTAATGAAAACTTACCAAAAATCAAGTCTCTTGGCCTTGGCGATCCCATGGAAAACGAGACTAAAGGACACACGACGACTTCTTTGCGACGAGACTGTGACGACAGACGACGACGACCAGAACTTAGGCACGACGAACGTCCTTCTTTGAGATGACGACGACTTCTTTGTGACGAGACTGTGACGACAGACGACGACGACCAAAACTTAGGCCCGACGACCGGCCTTCTTTGAGATGACGACGACGACAGACGACGACCCCGACGACCCCGACGACGACACACCAAGCGCCGCACAACAGCCGAGAAAACGAAGATGAATGGGTTTAGGGTTGGGAGGAGTTTCTTTTTTCTCTCCTTCCTTAATTAATGATGGCATTTAATTACTTTTTATATTCCTAACTTACCCTTTAACGTATTAGGTAGGTAGTTAACCAATCATTACTAATCACTCTCTCTCTCCTTCTCCTATTGGCTGAAAGGGGTTTAAGAAACTCCTTAAAAAAATGGCCTTAAGGACCTGATCCAACCCGCTCTGCCTGCCACTTCCTTGGTTGCTTCTCAGCATTTCCAAGGTGGTCCGTAGCGGCAAAGCACTACAGAATTGCCGCTCAAATTATCATTTCATTATTAAGCAGTTGGTTGGGACTTGTACTAGTAAAGGTATTTCTTTATTCAAGCGGGTATTTCTTTATCAAACTAGCGATCAGTTCGCGGAGGATTATATGAAAAATATTTGTTGAATACTGTAGCATTGAGTTTTTCTTGTAACTTGTACTAGTAAAAGTATTTCTTTATTCAAGCGGGTATTTTTCTACCAGCTTACAAGTCTTTATAACTTGAGTTACTCTCTAATACCCATATCATTGATCTTTGTCACCGTGGCTGAGATTACAACCCAGACGAAGATTGGAAGATAGAGCGTGGTAAATTTTGGAGAATAAATAAGGGGTAAATTGCAAGGTTAGTCACTGAGATTACTGAAAAGGTAAAAACGTTCATGTTTGGTCACTAAAATTATTTAATTCCATAGCACTAAGATTACTTAAACATTTCAAGATCAGTCACTCTCCGTCCAACTTTGTTAACTTTCACTGATGTGGCAGTCAACTCTAAGAGTTGACCGTTAAATTGAACCGTCCAAAAACGGAGGAGGATGATACTTGGGAGTTCTTGGATGAGATCAAGCAAAAATTTCCAGAATTCCAGACTTGAGGCCAAGTCAGTTCTGAAGGAGAAGGGAGTTGTAACACGTGGGACTTAAATGTAAAGAATAAAAGTTGTTAGTGGGGTTAGTAGAAGTACAGGGACTAAAAGGGATATTTGGCAAGTGTATATAATCCTTCCCTCTAACAACCTAACGATCATCTGAGAATTGATAACAAACTTTCCCTCTCTCTCTTCTCTTCTCTACTTTCCTCTCCTTCTTCTATCTGATTCCACCGCCGGGAGACTTCACCGATCCAAAGCGTGACAAATACCGTGCGCAGATTTTCCTTCCGCAGCAGAAAACGAAGACGAAGTACCCAACCGTCGCCCGCCGTCACTACTTCCAACCGCAGATGACGTTGAGATCTCCCTCGGGGAAGAAACGGAGGGACCACGCGATGAATTCGGGAGTCTCAGCCGACGAGACCAGGCGAGGGAGAAACGGGTGGGAGAGTCGGGGAGGACCGAGAGTGGAATTGGGCCTTCTCCACGACCTTGAGTGCGTAGGGGCCGGTGGCGGAAGGGACGGAGGCTCGGTCGTGGATGAGGAAGACCGTCCCCATGGCGCCCTTCCCGAGGACCTTGATGGCGACGAGTTAGTCCATTTTTATTTGGGAGGAGGAGTAGTGTTTGGCGTCGCAGTCGAGCAGCGGCGCCGCGGCAGTGAGGGCGATTCCATTTTTTGGTTGTGTTCAGGCTATGGAGAAAGAGGGAGCTGGGGGTGGGGGATGTTTGGTGGCGGTTCCATCATCGTCGAGACAACCGCCTCACCAGCCCAGTCGCCGGACCGCCGAATCGCTAGGCCACCGTCGCGGTTGCACCACCAGGCCACAAGTTCACAACCATCCCACTGCCCCTTGTTGCAGATCGCCGCCACCAAAAAACCGCATCACCAACCCCGCTAGGCTTAGGTTTTAAATTTTATGTTTGTAATGATGATGATAATTATGTGGAATATATGAAAGATTAAATATTGATTTTTTTTATTTTTCAATTGTCACGTCACACATTTAACAGTCAACTTTGAGAGTTGACTGCCACATCAGCGAAAGTTAACGGAGTTGGACGGAGAGTGATTGAACTTGAAATGTTTAACTAATTTTAGTGACCACGAATGGAATTAGATAATTTTAGTGAACAAACATGAACGTTTTTAGTAATCTCGGTGACTAACCTTGCAATTTACCCAATAAATAAGTAAGATGTCAATAGTGTATCATCAATCCGCTGTAGCATCATAACCTTATAGATTAATTCCAAGATATCCTGAAGCTGGGTAATGCGATCGTTGTATCCAGGTTTGAATTATATCCTGAAGCTAGGTAATGCGATCGTTGTATCCAGGTTCGAATCCTGGCAGCGGAAACTTTTTTACATATTTTTTTGGGTTAATACCCTAGTTTGGTCCGAAGTTTAGCGTAATTGACAGTTCTTATCTCATTTTATAAATAAGAAATTTATGGCCTACTTTGGAAAATATTGGACACAATTGTCCCAAAATTTTCTTTGACCGTTAATATTGATGGTCAAACACTATTCTGTAAATGACTTAGCAAAAAAACACTGATTTGGCATGCCATGTCATTAAATAATATTATTTTAATTTTTATAATTCAATTAATATAAAAATTAAGAAATCTATTCTTATTATCCCAAATCCCCAAATACAAACCCTAAAATAAATCAAAATCATCGTCCTCAAGAGGGAGGCGCCTCCTCCATCTCCGACGACCACCACTCTGTCGCCTCTCCCATTCCTTCCCAAAACCCACAACTAGCGAGCAGCCTGATTACTGTTGAGCTTGCTCTAGTTGGTGTATTGCACAGTCGCAGGCTCGCAGCGGCCTTGCTTGGATCTGGATCTCGCCGGTGATCTGGACCACTCCAGTTGTCCACCTGTCCTTCGAGCTCACCTCCTCCGCTCACTGCCAAATACTGCATCGGAGGATGCGCCTCCTGTTGACGATGATGTTAATTTAGTTTAGGGTTTCAATTTTGGGATTTTGGGAAAATATGAAGAGATTTTCTTAATTTCTTAACTTTTTTTAATTGAATTATAAAAATTAAATTATATTATTTAATGATGTGGCATGCCACACCGGTGTTTTTTGTTGAGTCACTAACGAAATAGTGTTTGACCGTCAATATTAACAGTCAAAGAAAATTTTAGGTCAAATTTGTCCAATAATTTCAAAAGTAGGCCATAAATGTCTTATATGAAAAATGAGGCCAGAACTATCACATTACCCTAAACTTCGGGCCAAACTATTTATTTACCTAATTAGGGTGCACGTGTGGTGGTACGTAGGGGATGATTGGGGAAGGGGACAGCAAAGAGCGGGGTTAATAATGAGGCGTGGCATGGGAATGGGCCTTCCCGTTCAAAATTAAATGAAAGTCTAGGGTGGGGCCCATCTCAACATTGAATAAAAAGCCCAGCCCGTACAGCTAAAAAAAATTTCCTCTCCCCGTCTTCATCACAGTTTACAGATACCGCTCGCTTTCACTTACTTGGATTTAGGGTGGCTATACAGTCCGGTCCGGTTAAATTGGACCAAATCGATCCGATCTCAGTCTGGTCTTTTCGGGAATATAAGGATCAAAGATTGGATTTGATAAAGTTTAGTCTTGATCCGGTCCGGTCCCAATTCGATCTTGATTTTAGATTGAGCTTGTGGGGATTTGAGTGTTGGGGTCTCTTATCCGGTTGTTTTACCTCAAATCTAAACCCGAATATGAGATTGGATTGTTTGCTCTCCGGTCCCAGTCCGGGCTATACAGTCCGATTTCGGGTAAAACCAAACAATCCGGAACAAATAGCCAGCCCTACTTGGATTTAGGGGTCGTTTGCTTCAAGGATTTTATAACGAGGGTTTTGTCATGGATTTGCTAATTAAAAACCTTGGGATTTATTAGGGATTTTGGGCATTATGGATTTGAGGAAATCCTTTGTTTGTTGAGCTATTTTTATCATGGATTTGATGAGGGGGCATGGTTTTTCAACTTGTCTCTAAATCCCAGGGTATGAGGTGGGATTTATAAAACCGTGGGGCCATGGATTTGGATCTAAAAAAAAACCAAATCCGTGGGGTCCACAGATTTATCTAAACATTTTTTGACAAAGCAAACAATGAATTGTGTGTAAATCCATAATGGTTGGTTTTTTGGTACCAAATTCATGATGCAAATTTTTGAAGCAAAGGACCCCTTACTCCAACCACAAGCTAAGTGAAAGTGACAACCCTCGCCGAGTCGCCGTTAATACATAGCGCTTACTTATGGGCCGTTTACTTGCCATTCCATTTCTGTTAGCTGCCACAACAGAAAACAAAACTAAAATGAAAACGAAGTTGTCGTTTTCTGAGAAACAAAACCTGAAAAAACCTTGTTTAGCTGAGACTTTTTATAAGTTCAGAAACTGAATCTTAAAAACGAAAACCTGTTTAGTTACTTCATTACTGTTTTCTGATAATTGATTATCATAATTTTATTCATTGAGTATCATACAGCCCTAATTATTATCATCATTTTTAATTCGAATTATATAGTTTTTAAACTACAAATAAACAAAATACAAAGCATCACAACAATTCGCAATTGCTTGTGCTTCAATCCGTCCATGTTCATCCCCCTATATCACCACAATCCATACCTGTCACCATTGTTGAGTTCCACAGACATCATTAATCCATAATTTAGCCAAACAAACAATTAAAAAAGCCTTGACCTTTTGGCTTTTGGTTCCAGGTAAACAAGAAGGTAAAGTGGCCCTCTCTCGATGATGGGGCCGGAGTTGGTTGGTCGTTGATGGCAGCGCGGGGGCTGGCGAGGAAGAAAGATGATGGCGTCGCGGGAATGAGAGGAAGATGAGGGGTGGTGGTCTGGGCAGATGACGGCGGCGCGGCAGGGGTGGTGGTCTCGATCGTCTCTTCGCCTCATGAAACTACGCACATAAGGGATGGAAATCGACGCCGTTCGAGTTTCCAAGAAGAGGGAAGAAGCTTGGCGTCGGCAGGAGGAGGGAAGAGGCTCAGCGCCGGATGAAAGCTTGGTCGCCGGCTGGAGCTTTGCACGGAAAAAGATTGAAGGGAGAGGTAAGTGGAGGGAGGTGAGAAGGCGAAACGACGTCGGATTCCGCTAGCGGAAGTGTGGAACAAAAGAAAAAAAAATTGCGGCTGGTGGGATTCGAACGTGGGTGCTCATTTAAGCACAGTGTCGTTTTTCCGCTAGGAAACGGGCACAAACCCGTCCCACATAATTCAGGAAACGGGAAATTATCGTTTTCTCCCATCTAGCTCATTTGTGTAAAATGATTCTTCCAACGAAAACGAAATTACTAAGTGAACACATTTTTTTACAATTTGATTCCAGATTTTCATTGACACAACAAAAAACAGAAAACAAAATAGGAAGTGAACGGGGCATTAGCTTCCGTCATCTTCTTTTCCCTTCTTTTCCCTTCTTTTTTTGGGAGGCGAAATGGGATTAGGAAGACCTGACCTTATCGATCTAACGACCTTTCTTCACAACTCAAAACTATCGAAACGAAGCCTTTTTTTTTTTTTTTTTTTTTGCTATAAACGTTAAAGTATTGTTTGGGAATTGGGATATGGCAGCAGTGCTGAAAAATGGGATGGGCTGTAGCATGCAGGCAGCGGGAAAGGCTGTAGTAGTGGAGTGGGCTAGTGGATGGGTGGGTGGATTGGGCTGGTCAATTTGGGACCGCTAGTGATGGGCCGTTGACTCGATTTTGACTAATGGCAATTATTATTATAAGTCTGTCTAGTCCAGTCTTCCCTGCCACTGCCACCCACATATCAAGTTGGCTTCCTTGCTCCATTGATGAGCACGTAGCGTACGACACCCAAAATTAGAGGTGGCAATTTTAATCCAATCCACCAATCCAATCCATCAATCCATTAAAAATATCCACCTAATTCAATCCATTTAAATCTAATTCATTTTATCTAAATCCAATTGGATTGGTGGATTCATGGATTGGATCCATGGATCATTGACAAATTACGGTTTAGTACCTATAATTTTTATTTTTTACATTTTGGTACCTAAAATTTAATTTTTTATACGAAACATATCATTGGAAAATTACCTTTTGGTACCTAAAAATATTCATTATGACGTTTTAGTACCTAAACTTTTTACATTTTACATATTGGTCCTTGGTTGAGGATGTCATTTGGATTCATGGATAATCCACCAATCCACTTGATCCAGTCCATTAGATCCAATCCATTTAATCCATGGATCCACCAATCCAATCCACCAATTCACCAATCCAATCCATTTGCCACCTCTACCCAAAATGCATCTTTCCGTTCTCTTTTCATGCTTTGAATTGATTACATGCACTCAAACTCCCATCGGTCAAACATCGTTTCTCTGTTTTTTAATTTTGGTGGAATCGTTCTCCCACAAACCTTCGTATGGGTTCAAGAACGTAAGGTCGAGAGGAGTAGATGAATTTGCAACAGCTCTGATCCAATCCGATCCCGTTAAGTGGTGGAGCAAGAAATTTGAACAAGGGAGAGCTGACTTGAATTCTCGTAATTGGAGGATGGGGACTATAGGCTTACCGACTATCCTATTTTTTAAATTTGTATAAAATTTACATGTAATTATAGTTGTAGTTCAAAGTTGAAGGGGTTACCGTCCCTCCTAGTTTCAACCTAACTCCATCACTGCTTACCGTACATCTATCAAGTTTTTTTCACTTATACTGAATAATTAGAGAGTTTGAGACATGATACTCTAATGAGTGAATTTTAATCTCTGATTCTCTAACTCAAACTATAAAAAAAAATTCATTTAATCTAAAAAGTAATTGTTTTCAGAAAATAGCTAGTGTATGCAGACCTTGATTTATACTTGCAAAAATAATATCTAATCTTTAAGCTAATTCTTTCGCCGCTAATAATGTGGAGGAACATCCGGATCCATTAAAACAGTAATCCTCAATAATTTAACTTTACCGTAGGAGCATAATTTATATTATTCTGACTTGAAAAACGCTCTTGGGAGACTTAATTAGGTTTAAATTTTTGGGAAATTGGGGGGATTGGGATGGAAGAATGGAATATATCGGGGGAAGAATACGTGATCAATAAAATATAACGTACGTGAGGGGCGGGGGTTGAAAGTGAAACTTGGCATATGTGATCAATAAACTATGAGTAGGTCATGTTTTGGTCTACCTACTACCCAAATAAAAAATAAAATACATACATATATGGAATAAACCACATGCATGTATCTATACGTTTTGTACATAATTTCCCCTAACTTAATTACGACGTTAGTTAATTAGGATTAATGAACCATTTTCTTCTACGGTTAATTAACAATTACAATATCCAACTTTCTAAAGAGGTTCTACATTCCGGAGGTGACTTGCTTCATTGATTTGATTTACGAATTTGGATCTATGAAGTCTATAGATTTTGAGAGTTCAAATTTGTTTGTCTTATAGATTTGTAAATCCCAAACGTATAGATGAAGGGTACATAAACAATAGACTACAACTGGTAGTAGAAAAGCTAGTAGTTAAGATGAATTGATCATAGATGAAACTCTCCCAACAACTCGAGTTATTGTGACCAGTTGGTTTATAATCTTGGTATCAAATGATGTTTCTCACGATTCATAAAAAAAAAAGATGTTTCTCACGATAGACGGATAGAACTTCTAAAAGAAGTCACAATAAGATTCTTCTTCAAGCAACATTCATCGACCAACCTCGTCGTGAGTTAGATCTTTAGAGGAGAAAATGTTGTCAACGACATAAGTGTCAAGATCAAGGCTTCAACGATTTGTACCACGGAAACACAACACATGCATTCAAGTCCCGTATAAAAAATTTATAGTAATCGAATTTAAATTATTAGTATAGAGTCTTGATGCCGTAGAGAACTAATTTGTCCGGAAACAACGTGGGTATGAAACGAATATGAGTACCGATTTAAATCTCACAAAAATCCTGTGCAGACAGAATCACTATTTCCCACCTCCCTGTACAGCAACCAATAAACATTTCTGTGATCCATCAATTTCGAGTTCACCTCGATCTTCTTTACAAAAACAGAAGCAATATTCTTTGTCCCCAATGGCCGCCAACCCTCCCTACTGTCTAAAACTTCCCGTCGGCCGCCATCACTCAGCAGCAGCCGCGAACAGTGAAATTCTGTTCCCAAACAATGAACAAATGGACAACAGAACAGAACAGAACAGAACAGAACAGAAACAAGACTTTGGTGTGTGAAAGAGAGAAGCAATGTAGAGGTAAAAGACTATGGAATTTCACTAACATGCACAACAACCCAAATGGCCTATAGGGTTAGAGCTAGTTTAGCTTAGGGTTCTAGTTACCTTGGAACATGGGTTGGGGGGCAAAAGCTTATAATACATCTGGGTTCAAAGACTTACACGAAACCAAACCCACCATATTTGTCAACAAAAGCCAAATTACAGAGAGCCACAAGAAACAAGCAAACTGCGACAGCAGCAGCCGAATCTATAGTAGTGTGATAAACTGGAAAGAAAAGACTTGTCTTCCTTCCTGGGATTGGGTGCCATTTCATCTCCCTCCTGTCTCTCTGCCATCATATTAGAGGGAGACCCAATATTATGGCTCCCATGTGATTTTTCACCACTGCCCTGCCCACCACCACTCTGCTTTTACCTAATAAATCAATTCATTGGTCACTGTGCTTTGAACGTATCAATCCTAATCCCCTCCACCTCACTCTTTGACTTTTGTTTGTTCCCTTGGGTTATAATGATATTATTATATACTAACATTGCGAATTTTGATAAGAGTT